GACCACAAAGAAACACAAAACAGCCACAAAGAGACACAAAACAGCCACAAAGAGACACAAAATGACCACAAAGAGACACAATATGGCCACAGAGACACAAAACCGCTACAAAGAGACACAAAATGACCACTTAGACGCACAAAACAACCACTAAAAGACCACAAATAGACACAAAGTTGATTAAAAATTACTGGAAAGAGACAAAAGAAATCCACAAAAAAAAACTAAATGACTGGAAAGAGCCAGAAAATGTTCATGTATTCAGTGTGTATTTGAATAGGAAGGTGTTTGTGTAGAAGAACGGACGTCTGCTTTAAGTTTGTGAATGTGTGTCTCTGCTTTGTGTGACGTGACTGTAAACCTGTCAGAGCTTTAATTCAAAGTCTATCAGAGGATTAGAATTTCAATCTGAGGCAGGAGCGCACATAAATCACGTCACAAACGTGTTGCTTCGTCGCCTCTTCCTGCCGCTCTTCCAGCTTTTCATTCAGAACTCGAAGCATGAAGGCGTGACAGCATTTATTTAATCATTTATGAGTTTGGAAATTGTGTTTTTACAACAAGAACTCGAGGTCTCAGTCTGTGTTCAACGTGAAACTCAATTTCTCCAAATTCTTAATAATTCATCAGCTGCTCCCAGATGACAAACTGCCTTTATTTGGAAAGTTCTCATCTTAAAGTCTGAAATCTGGTTCTATATTTAATGCAGGCTGGTAGCATTTTGCGTTTGTTTTTCTTTTATTTGACGGATAAAGGCACAAAACACCCACAACGACGTACAAAACTGGCCATAAAGAGAAAGAAAAAGACAAAATTCCTCAAAAGAAAAACAAAATCCCCTCAAAAAACAACAATTAGAAGACCAAAATGCTGACAAAACAACAAAAAAAGACACAAAATGACAACAGAGACATAGAATGATTAAGGAGACACAAAACCAGGAGAAAGAGACACAAAACAATCACAAACATACACACGAAACAACTAGAAAGAGACAGAAATTGCTCACAAAAATAAAATGTGACCACAAAATGTCAGAAAACTGAGATCACAGAGACACAAAATGACCACAAAAATGCACAAAATGGCTACTAAAGATGCAAAATGTCCACAAATGATTGGTGAGACACACAAAAAAATCATAAAGAGACACAAAATGTCCACAAAGAGAAAGACGATGACTGGAAATCGACACAAAAAGATGCACAATGACCACAAAATAACGCAAAACAACTAGAAAAAGACACTGTCACTTTCTGCACAGAGACACAAAAGAACCACAAAACGTACACGCAAAGAATGACGATGTGTTCAAAGCGACTCACAACCGTAAAGAAAC